AGAAGTACTATTTTCTCTTACCCTTCTCCTTTTTCCTTTTCTTTGGGCATAACTGTTCTTTTGGAGATGTGAGTCACTCTGTAGATACAATTGAAACTTATCTCTGTCTTTTATACCTTCCTTTTAAACTCAGTCTAGAAAAGTGAGGGTTGGCTGAATCTGAGGAGACAAATAGAGCTCTCTTACTTATACTGAGCCCGTCTACTGTGACATGGCATCTTCACCAGCTGCTTCCAGGTGTCACAAGACTCTTCCACTCACCTCTGTTTTACTGCTTAATTGAGTCTCCTGTTCTTGCCTTACTTGGGACAGCTTATGGTCTGTCCTTACTAAGTTTTACCAGGAAGTTTTTCACAGAGATTAGTTTTGTAAATTTTGGAAATTTGGGTAGGAAGAACAAGAAAAACTGTGAGTAAAGAGATGAAGGTCACATATTTGTCTGTACCAACATTGGAATGAGGTCATAGAACAAGGCCCAAGAGCTTAAAGTTTGCAGAAATATGGCTGTCATTTCTCTTACTCCTTGGCTAACAAATAATACCACTTTGAAAAATTTGCATCAGCTTCCTCTTCGAACAGTGTATGTTTTGGAATGGGCCTTAGTTAGCTTCACTTTAGAGCTCCAGTACTCCCATCTCCACCTTTTCTTTATTTTATTTTTTTCTTTTATTATTCATATGTGCATACAAGGCTTGGTTCATTTCTCCCCCCTGCCCCCACCCCCTCCCTTACCACCCACTCCGCCCCCTCCCCCCCCAATACCCAGCAGAAACTATTTTGCCCTTATTTCTAATTTTGTTGTAGAGAGAGTATAAGCAATAATAGGAAGGAACAATGGTTTTTGCTGGTTGAGATAAGGATAGCTATACAGGGTATTGACTCACATTGATTTCCTGTGCGTGGGTGTTACCTTCTAGGTTAATTCTTTTTGATCTAACCTTTTCTCTAGTACCTGTTCCCCTTTTCCTATTGGCCTCAGTTGCTTTAAGGTATCTGCTTTAGTTTCTCTGCGTTAAGGGCAACAAATGCTAGCTAGTTTTTTAGGTGTCTTACCTATCCTCACCCCTTCCTTGTGTGCTCTTGCTTTTATCATGTGCTCATAGTCCAGTCCCCTTGTTGTGTTTGCCCTTGATCTAATGTCCACATATGAGGGAGAACATACGATTTTTGGTCTTTTGGGCCAGGCTAACCTCACTCAGAATGATGTTCTCCAATTCCATCCATTTACCAGCGAATGATAACATTTCGTTCTTCTTCATGGCTGCATAAAATTCCATTGTGTATAGATACCACATTTTCTTAATCCATTCGTCTGTGCTGGGGCATCTTGGCTGTTTCCATAACTTGGCTATTGTGAATAGTGCCGCAATAAACATGGATGTGCAGGTGCCTCTGGAGTAACAGTCTTTTGGGTATATCCCCAAGTCATCTCCACCTTTTCAAGATTCACTTTTAGGCCCTCCTCCTTTCCTGTTGTGTGATGCCGCTACACAGAACTTTTATTTTTTTAATGTGCTTGTTTTTTAGATCTTAAAGTTCAGGGGCTGTGAGTTCAAATCAAGATAGCGTATCTCCTAAAACTTTGCATATAATAGAACCATCACAGATTTTATTGTGCAGTAGTAAAATTCCAGTGGGTTTGGAGAGTTGGGGGGGCAGTCTCACTGTGTAGCCCAGGCTAACTTTGAACTCAAGATCCTCTTGTTTCACACAGCTTTTCACATGCTAGGATTTTAGGTTTATTGGGATTCTTAAAAGCAGTTTTGTAGATTTACCTGTTTTTGTTTGTAACCCTTTAATTGTTGTATTCACCTAAGATATTTGGATGATATGAAAACCATATGACTTACAAACAAATATGTTTAAAATCTTCCAAAATCTAATGTCATTTTTTAAGCTGTAAGAAAGGAACACTAGCATGTTCCTCTCATTCCTCCCAGTAGAAGAGAAGCAGATCTTCCTACTCCTCAGTCCTCAGAAACAACTCTGTTGGAGCCCAGTTTTTTAATACGTTGAGCAGCCTTAGAGGCATAGGCCTTGTATCCCGACTCTTTTCTACGTTTAGAGAAGTCCTTCATTTTCATTCCTGTCATTATTGGCTGTAGTGGGATGGGTGGTGGTCTGTAAAATAGGTAAGACTTTGTGTATGAAAGAATTTTGGAGATTTGCTATAGATTTTGAAAATTTTGCCTCATGGAAATGTTCTTATAAAATTGAAGGGGAAGTCTTAGCAAGATTGCAGAATATTTCTTAGAGAAATGGATTTTGATTTAAATAATAATGCATGTTGGAGGCCTGGCTTTAGCTAATAGTCAAATCATTGTTTATAATCAGCATATCCAGAAAACAAAGTGAAGCCTAGCATTTTGACAAGGCTGAGTTGTCCGGTGTCTTTGGAGATGAGAAAACCAAACAGCAGAGAAGGATCATTAACTGAACAGCATTTCCTCCCCACAGAGGAAATGTCAGCTGGCATGGAAACTTCCATCTCACATTCAAGTCTTTTCTTCTTTTCTACTATTCCAAGTTGGTAGGCTCTAACCTCCTCTTATAATGAAAGCTAAATTGCAAATTGACAGATAACAGATGTCTTACAGGTAATGAATTTTTAAAAAGTCCTGTAAAATCTTACTTGTACTGTCCATTGTTGGTAATCTCTCCCCATTTCTTCCCTTTCCCTTTCAAATAAATAGCAAATCTAGTTTCAGTTCCTGCTTTATTTAAAATATTGGGACTTTTCATTTCTGAGTTAAATTTGATTAAAGTTCATGAGTCAAATCAGTGCTTTTACTTGGATTTAGAAGAATCATGGAGCTGGGTACTGGTGGTTCATGCCTGAAATCCTAATTTGCTAGGCAGGATGAGATCTGCAGGATCGCAGTTCGAGGCCAGACGGGGCAAGTAGTTTTGCAAGACCCCCATTTCCAGAATAACCAGAGCAAAAAATGGACTGGAGGCATGGCTCAAGTGGTAGAGGGCCTGCTTTGCAAGCAAACCCCTGAGTTCAAACCCCAGGCCAACCCAAAAAATAAATAAAAAATAAAAGAATCATGGAATTTTAAAACAGAACATAGTAATGGTTGTATTCCATTTTCCAACTTAATTGGTTGCTATGAATCTTAAACTTAAAGGGAAAATCTTAAACTAAAGGGAGAGGGGAGTTTCTCTTATGCCAGAGAGATAAAATAATAAAGACAATTGATGTATTTTTTTTTACTGCCTTAAGCAGTATTATGGATAATAATATAATATATAATAGATGACCAAAGTTGTGGTGTATTTATTTTATTTATTACAGTGTTAGTGATTGAACCCAAATTCTCACAAATGTGGGCAAGTGTTCTAGCACTAGGCTATACTATACCTTCAGCCTGGTTGTAATTTTTTTTTTTTCCCCAGTACTGAGGTTTGAACTTTATGCTTATGGGGCAGGGTGCTCTACTGCTTGAACCAAGCCTCTAGCCCAGTTGTGATATTTATAATAATGGTTTAGAATATAATACAGGTTTTAGTCTGTGTTTTCATATTGTACTTATAAATGTGTATAAACAGTGGTTTGTTATATAGTGTCTGGTGTATTAGTATTGCCTACTATAACCTATAACCTTTTAACAATAAATAACAAAAGAAATAATCCTAGCTAAATCAACATTACATTAACACTCTCCCTGTTTTTATGAGTGAATGAGCACACATTGTTTTCAAAACAGACTTGCTTTACTAATGTACATCCTCATCGTAGTACAGCTCCTACCACTGGTGGGATTTCGCCATGGGCTTAAAAATTGACCCTTACGTACAGCGGTAGAAGAACTTTGTTTGGGTCTTTTCTTTGACTTTTCTACATAGCAAAAGAAAACTCAAAAATGCTTCTTGAGTGGCTAGTGAGTTGATTGCCATCTTTCAGCCTGAGAAGTATAACCTTCCTTGGAATAAGCAGATTTAGAATTTCTCCACCTAGTAATGAGTATTGAAAGATAAGACTGTTCATCTAATGAAGGTTCTTTTATATTTTGTGATCTTGAATCTTGTTTAATTTGTAAAACCATAGCACTATAACCAAAAGAATGACAGACAATAGTTTTGTTAAAACCTGATTAAGAACACTGAAAATGAAATGGTGAGAGTCAGAGTTAAGCGATTCTGGTTACTCTTCATGGTTGTGTGTTCATTATGGGAGGAAGAGGTTGAGTGTTATGTTGACGCTCTTCTTCCTCTACTACAGATTTGTGATGCATTATTGGGCTATACTATTTTAATGTCATTTATTATATTGTCAACTTGACCTCTTTTTCTGGTAATACTGCTTTAAATTAATAAACACTATAGTCCTTAATTTGACAAAAGTGAAAGTCATTAAATCTTTTCACTCCATAATAGTAATTAAATTATAACTCTGTTGTAGTGAAAAAAAATAGTGTCCGTTACTTAACACAAAGGAACATACAGAGAAGATTCTTTCTTAAATTTAGCATATACAGCAGGGGGCACCAGATGAAGGCAAAAATGAATGCTTACTTTTTAAATCAGCTGTAGCTTGTTTCCTGTTCATATATAAGTAATGTGGCAGTTGATTGTTTCCCCTTAGTTTTCTTGATGGTTTTAACTTCTGAGTTCTAAAAGCTATGTTGGAGATTGATAACTCTTCTCACTTATTAATCCAGTTGAAACTTCTTACAACTAACCAGTTTATTAATCACTCAAACTTTTCCTTAACATATAATATTTTTAGAGTTTTTAAAAAAGAGTTAAACCACATTTAATAATTCTTTGTTTAGAACAGTACATTAATACTATGTTTTGAGTACCTTTCCTATAAAATGTTTTTTCACTAATGATTTGAGAACTTATTCTCCATATGTTAACTGAGTGATTTTAAACCTGCAAACCTGTTCTTTAAAGCTATTAGTCATATAGAAATTTGTAAGCAAAAAGGCTTATTTTAGTGTTGGTGGCGTTTCTAAATAGCCTTTTCTGTTATTCTCCTCTCTGTCATCTAGTCCAATATCAGATGGAAATGATGAGGAGCCTTCGCCATGTAAACATTGATCATCTCCACGTGGGCTGGTACCAGTCCACGTACTATGGCTCCTTCGTCACTCGAGCACTTCTGGATTCTCAGTTCAGTTACCAACATGCTATTGAAGAATCTGTCGTTCTCATTTACGGTTAGTAAGAGGTTCTTTTATTATTCTTCTCTTCCCTTAATATTATTATTACTATTTTTGCTTTCTGTCTTTTTTTGCCTCTAAGAGCCTGGCAGTCCTTTTCAAGTAAATACCAACCCTGTTCCTGCAGCAGCCTCAGCAGCAGCTAAGTCTAGACAGGGTTTCCTTCTTTCTGTTTATTTTTCTTGCTATCAGAGCCCTGATGTGTACATTTTGGAATGCTGGAGTAGCTGCTTCATTTTTATTCCTCCATCTTCTCCCTCCACCCCCTCCCCCTCCCCCGCCTCCAATTGAAGGGGCTGGTGGAACTAGACCAGATGTCTAACAAACCCCGATTGCTGGAGTGTCTGGCTCTGTACGTGACTGACCAATCATAACACAGCGTGCCAAGTTTTTTGTTTTTATTTTATACCTCTGACAGCAGCGTACAAAACCTGGACTGTTTCTTAGCACAAAGATTTTTTTCTTTTCGGCCTATTTAATGGTGTTTCCTCAAGCTCTCCAGACCAGATGTTCTGTGCTGTATCAGAACTGTAGGCAATTTAACAGCTTTATAGCTTTCCCCCTCCCCAAACACTCACAGTTTGCCATATCTGGCAGACTTGCATATAGTTTCCAGCTGAGAAGTAAATGTAACGTCCTGAGTATCTGTCAGAAAAAATACTAATGAATACGATCAATCTTATGAGCTGCCCCAAAATTGTTTCAGTATGTTAACAATTGGATTACAGTAAAGAACAAGTTGTTAAAGTATACTTATATTGGCTGGAAACATTGCATCATCAGACCTTGATGAATTTTCCACTTGTTTCAATCTATTTTGGTTTTCATTTTATCACCTATTGCTAAAAGTTTCACTGTGTTAAGTTTCAGACAACATGAATGTTAACACAGGTTTTAGGCGAATATTGGCATGCCAGAGCCGTTATCATGCAGCAAGTGCTAAGCTCCCTTACTCATGGAGTGTTTAAGCAGTTAGTTTTGACAGAAATTGTTTCTCTAAAACTAAAAAGACACTTGTGTGATAGCACTTTGACTCAGTGGTTATGTTTTTACAATCTGCTTTAATTAAGAAATGTGTACTCTGATAGGATGGATAATTTTTGTTTGCTGGGCTATTCATTTTTAAATTAGTTGAATGAAAAAAAATATACAAGTTCATGCAGTGGTTTTTTTTTTTTTCATGCTTAATGTTCATCAACATTTTACTCCTAATGGTGCACAATGTGTAGAATGTATGTTATATTTAATTTGCAACAAGTTTTAGCTGAGGACTGATTTGAAAATGTCCTAACTATATTTTGATTCTTTTGTTCTTTTAGAGAGGAAGTTATTTTGCCTCTCATAAGTAAGATAGGGGAATTTCTTTTATTTTTACTATCATTTGCAAAGAATGGCTTGAATCGCTTGAAGGTGCATTCTGATTATTTATTTTGATCTTCATTTTGCAAAGATTGTGTGATGAGTAACTATGTGCCTAGTACCAGTGTTCTTTGAGCACTGGTGGTGACAAAATTCTTAGTTATTTCTTTCTCTTTTATTTCTTTAAGATCCCATAAAAACTGCCCAAGGGTCTCTCTCGCTAAAGGCATACAGATTGACTCCCAAACTGATGGAAGTTTGTAAAGAGAAGGATTTTTCCCCTGAAGCGTAAGTGTTTGGGGGCCCATGAGGCATACAGTAAAGGAATGGATATTTTTCTTTTAAGATTTCAGCTTGCCACATTTATTGAATCCTTGGTTGTTCAATGGTAACACTTTCGCCATGTGGCCTGCATGCCAAGTGCCACTTGATTTCTCCCTTTCCATGTTTAAATTATTCTTTTTGGAAAGTCTCATCTGTTGTGAGAGTAGGAATTAATTACCTACCATGTTTGAAGAAATAAATGATGGAATAAAGGGAGAGAGAGGAGTGGTTAGCAGCTGTCAGACTGTAAGCTGTGTCAGATCGCTGTGAACTGCATGTCTTGTTTTCTGAACTCCTGTTTCATGAGGGGATGGGACAGATAGGAACATATTAAGAAGTCAGTAAATGTGGCTTCTTAGAAATTTTATGAGTGACACATACCCTAGAATTAACTGATATAGTGACTTTGTGATCCTACTTAATGGTATTTGGATATTTACATTTTAAAAATCTTGTTAAATATTTAGAATTTTTATTTCCTGTTAATTGTGAAACATTTTATATATATGAAAACAAAGTTGCAGCTTTGACTTTATGTAGGATAATTTATCTCTAGTTTGCTATTTTGCTTCTAAAAACTTAGAGTGTGTGAATTTTAAAAAAGAAACACTGATGAACAGTTCCTGACTATGCAATTAGAATTGAACTAGGTAGTGCTCTTACTGTGTTGTGAACTGCTGTATGTGGATCTCCTGTGCCTGTTCTACTGGTGATTAATCTTTTTAGTTCGGCATACTTTAAAAATGAACTTTCCAAGTAATATTGAGTATTTCTCTTTTCTAGCTATTTGTTTTAAATGTTTCTGGTATAGATTGTGTTGTGTGACTTACTGTGACATTTACATTTTGATATCAGTGAAATTTCAAGGATACCTGATTACAAATAATGAATTGTTTGTTTTGCCAACAACCTTATTTTCTGGGCTTATTGCTCAGCTTCAGATCATTTTTAGAGTTACTCAAATCACTAGGTTAATTTTTGACTCTGTAAAACTCTACTGAGTCTCTCCCTTCTCCTCTCAAGTGTACTAATGAAACAAATGTCCTGGAGAGGGCCTATAATTAAGTAAAATGTATGAAATACTCCATTTAACACTCACTTTTGACCAGCAGACTAAAGTATTTTTAATACGCTTCGCAGACTGAAAAAGGCAAATATCACCTTTGAGCACATGTTTGAAGAAGTGCCTATTGTAATTAAAAATTCACATCTGATCAATGTCCTAATGTGGGAGCTTGAGAAGAAGTCAGCTGTAGCTGATAAACATGAATTGCTCAGTCTTGCTAGCAGGTAAGTGGCCCTACCTAATGAAAGTAAGTTTTTGCAGAAGATTCTTTTACATAGACTTTCCCTGTGAAACAAATTACTTAACATTTTGAGAGAAAGATTTTAAGATATATGTAACAACATGCAGTGTTTGTAAGGCTCTATTAAGATCCCAGGAAAACTACCAGACTGATAAAAGTGAAGCAAACATACTAAATACTAACTGCAGTTTACAAGAACCCACTGCTGCCTTCTTTGTTGTATCATTTGTACCTGGTTGTGGTAAATGCTCATGGAGATGGATTTTTTTTATTTGACTCAGCTTTGTTGTCTGTCCACTGTGCTCCAAGGGTTATGGTACTATGTCTAGATATATAGAGAAGAGGGTTATGGTACTATGTCTAGATGAGAAGAGGGTTATGGTACTATGTCTAGATATA